GGTCACGTTTTCACTTTGCAATTTCTTGTCCCAATATTCTATTTTTAAAGTACAATGAAAAATACAAAGGAGACATTTTCAAGTTGGGACAAATACGCTTTTAATTTCTGACACTATTCGGTGTGCTTTGGACTTTGTCAGCTTCAGATTTTGACCATAATTATTAGCAAATGGTGTAAAAACTAATGATGCAATTAATTTATTGATTTGCTTACAAAATCATTATTGTTTGAGGTTTTAACTGGGGAATGGCTCGTGGAATCCGCCATATTATATGGGGCAATTACAGGTTTATCGATAAATTTATATCCCAGACCATTCGTTGTAGATAACCTTTTCTGCATCTAACCGATCCGCTTAAGAGGTGTTAGGATAGTGCATTTAGTCATTATATATAGCATACATACATTTTTGCATATGCATGCATGATTGATATAGCATATACTTACGTTTTTGCATATGCATGCATGATTGACATAGCATACTGTCCTTAATCCCAATCCTACATACATTTCTTACACACATGTTTGTTTGGTTGGTAACTATAGTTTGATAAGATCTCTGATTAATATACATATTGCATCCTTTGTATACACCCTTATGTTTGTTTATCTTTTCTTCATTTTTTGGATTAAAAGAATTACTTCATACCTTTCAACACACATATTTCTTTTTCAATTTACAATGTTCGGTGATTAACAAATACTATAAACAATGGATAAGTGAGAGATACAAGTTTTAGCTTGTTGTTAATCAAAACCTTGTAACATTTGAGTGGTCAGCTTTTTTTAGACATTGTGCTTGGTACAAAAGAGAGTAAAGTGTCTTAGTCAACAAAGGCATGAGAGTTTTGTGTGGAAGTTTGAGCTCTTATTACATCTTAATAATCAAATCAAAGATAAAGAAAAAAAGCCAAAGGTAAGCCAAAAAAGTGACGAGACTTGTAATTCATTCACTACTTTTTGTTTGCAATATTTGAACATTTATGTACTAAGATAAAGATAAAAACGTAAGATAAGTAACTGACCATATTGAAGATTACAACTTCACAGGTAAGCATAAACCCAAAAGCCCAAAGGGCTTCATTTGTAGGTTTGTTTATTGTGTATAATAATACATGACAAAGCACTGTTGTGAGAGCCAAACAGATTACATAATCTCTCAAATCTGTCACCAATAAGGACAAAAAATAGCCTAAATGTTCCTCTTATGTGTCTAAAAGAAAGTAAATAAAGCTGAAGAATGGTTTGTGTGATAGAAACTCAGAACTCAAATGGAGGGTTTCAATGGTGGATACTTACTTAATGACGTTTCATCTCCTGGAAAATGTTGGAAACTCTTGGGGACAGTCTTGGAAGGAACTTAAACAGCTGCATAAGAGAGTTAAAAAACAGTTTAAAATGCAGAAAGAGATAACCAGCAAAGAAGACGAAACAAAGGAGAGACGCATAGTGCAAAAGAGAAAAATATAAAAGGCGAAGAAAATGTACCCAGAGCTTAACACAAGCATCCATAATAACGGGAACAAGGCAGATAAAAATGGTGATAGTAGATTGCTCAACTTCAAGACCATAATGTTCCATTATTGTCTCTAACAATGTCTCCCATCCAGATTCAGAATGATACCTTCAAAAAAGAATCATTAAGTTATATATACCTTCTTTGCACAACGGGCAATTGATAAGAGTTGATCTTCGCTAATATCAGTTATTGTGACCGTGACAACTTTGTTTTTAACATTTGTTATGAGCTTCACTTCTGGTGTTTGCTCTTAATGAAAGCAAAGATTTGGACATTTACCCCAAGAAAATGTCGGTGATAAGGATGATGAGAAATGCCTTTCCTGTGTCTGAAATGTTGTTTAAGATCTTATATCCGGTAAATTTCAACAACGCTACCTGAAAAATGTTTATGAAGTAACCAAATCATTTCACATGTTAACATAAACTTAAAATGTCATTTTAGGTTGGTTAATTTTCTGGTTGGAAACAGAAACTTACTCTACCCTGATTGGCGTACAAAAGAACGAACAGCGAGATCCCAAACACCATATCAGACCATATGTTGGCAAATGCTTTCCGGTTCTCTAATCGCCACTCATCTCGGAGCTCCAAGCTGTTGAAGAAACCAATGGTAGGAACAAAAAACATAGTGAGGCTATGCTTGAAATTAACTATCCAGTATACAGATCAAGATGAGTTTTCAACAACTAAACATCAAAAGAAACAAAAAAATATGGTGTTGAGTCTTACGCTTTACCCCGCAACTCCCACCATAACTCATCATCAGAAAGCGGCGGAGATTTGCCAATCTCGACTTCAAGACGGTACCTAGCTTTTTCTCTATTCAGTTCCTTCACCATTTCTAGCTTCTGATCTCGTCTCACATCAAGCGCCTGGGCAGCAAGTGGTACAGTATTCACATATCTGTAAGTAAAGGCAGACTAAATAATCAGACTGGGGACTAACACAAATGTAATTAGAGACATAATCAGGAGAAATTATCAGTGAAAATGAAGAAATCACCTCTCCAAAAAGGGCATAAGTACATAATCATGAGCTAAAAAGTCCAAAGCCCATGGTATGAGTATCAATACCGCCAAAAATTTTGCCTGTAAAGAGTTACAATGTCAATGAGCGTTGATCAGTCTTCTGGCAGAACATTACAATCAACAACACATGCAACAAGAATCATATGAACCAATGGCAAGGAATAAGATCAATCAGAAAAGCTATGTAGCATAGTGAAATTGTCTCATAACTCACCGATTTCGAAGATGCATAACGAAAAACACGGTCTTCGTATAAGATATCTTCCTCTTCTACTCCTAAAACCATATCCCTCACCATTTTAACCAACCCTGTCTCTGGAATAGCCAATTCATCGAGCTCTGATTCGGTTTCATTTCCTTCTCTGCTCCAAGACTCAACTAAACTATCATCTGAATCCACAATCCAATCCTCCCATTTCTTTCTCACATTTCGTTCATCTACACCATTATCACCAATCTCCTCCTGACCTTCCCGTAGCTCCACAATGGCCTCTGCTCGTCTCTTCCAAATCTCGAATTTCTCTTCATCAGACATCTCATCATCTTTTGCAAGCTCAGTTGTCTCATCAACAATGGCTTGGTCCCTCAAACCAAGCCAATTCCCATCATCATCAAAGAAAAACCTCTGCCACCAACTTCTTCTCTTCTTATTATTACCAGTATGACTGTTCTTCTTCTCCGCACTGGGAACAAATCTCCAAAGATTCTTCCTTCTCTTACCCACCGACGAAATCGAGTAACAGGGCTTGTGATGAAGAGAAGATGACGATGAATCAGGAACTGGGTTTTGGCTAGTGAATGATAAGCAGTGGCATAAGACCATTGACGAGCTCATCAAGGACATGAATCATTGTTTGGACTGTAATTTCAAGGCAACAATACAGATTCTTCAACGAAACCCAAACAAACCAGCATATTTTCTTTGTAAATTCAACAACTTTACAAGCCCTAAAGACGGAATTCAGTGAAGAAGAAGCTCCGAATGGATAAGAATTAGGGTTGTTCCCAGAGAGTTACCGAGAGAGAGAGAGAAGCAAACCCCAGTTGCGAGAGGAAAATGACGATGGACCAAAATAGATAAAGCCACTCTCTTTTCTTTGTTATCTTCTTCAGATTAAGCATCATGTCAAATATCTGTATTCCATAAGATTGTTTTGGTCCAAATATTTACATAAAAAAAATATTATTATTATTGTCAAAATTGTTGTTTTAGTCGTTTTTAATTGGCTAAAATTGAATTACTGTTCATTTCCAAAAACAAAATTGAAGTCGTATCTCACTTCTTGCTTTATGGAGACGTTGTTGCATCCAGTAGAAACACTACTTTCTGGGCTTCATCACCACCATCGAACTAACGCCAAGAGACGCAGAGTATTCAGATCTGTCAAGGTCTTAAACTCGAGGAACCATGAAAACCCAAGAAAGTAAAGTTTCCTTCTTAGTCATTGGGTCTTGTTCTCTTTTTTTTTTGTTGGTTCAGGCATTTTTACGAACACCTTGTGTGCAATTACCAACCTTTTTTTCAGGTGCCAGTGTTTTGATCTCTACGACCAATTGGTTCCTTACAAGAAAGCTTGGCCATGGCAGAAAAGCATTGTCGAGGAGAAAAAGGCATTGATTGATACAAACCAAGACTGCGCAGATACAGTGATTTTATTACAACACTCTCCTGTTTACACAATGGGAACTGGAAGTTCTGAGGATTATCTCAACTTCGACTTAAAGAATGCTCCTTTCGATGTGTATCGAACTGAGCGTGGTGGTGAAGTCACTTACCATGGCCCTGGTCAGGTAATAATATGAACAAAACTTTGAAAGTTTCTTTGTTTTCTTATGAGTTCTTCAAGCTGATTAGAGTTAATGTTTGGAAATGTAGCTAGTTATGTATCCTATAATCAATCTTCGAAACCACGAGATGGATCTTCATTGGTACCTCAGGATGCTTGAAGAGATTGTAATCCGTGTGCTTTCCTCAAGTTTCTCCATCAAAGCTTCCCGTCTTGATGGTTTAACTGGAGTTTGGGTTGGTAGGTCTCAAATCTTAACATTGTTTGAGATTCTTAGTTGTGTTTTTGATCTGTTTTGATGATTCTATTAGTGAGCTAGAAAAGTTTTGGAGATTGATCTCTTTTCGTTTGCAAATGTTATATAGGCAACCAAAAAGTGGCGGCTATAGGTATTCGTGTGTCGAAATGGATTACATATCATGGTCTAGCTCTGAATGTCACAACAGATTTAACACCATTCAACTGGATAGTTCCATGTGGGATTAGAGACCGGCAAGTTGGAAGCATAAAGAGCTTGCTCAAAGATAGAGAAGACGGAAAGGTCGATGATGATTTGAGGTTGATAGATATAGCTCACGAGTCTTTACTAAAGGAGTTCTCTGAAGTTTTCCAACTTCAAATCGAAAAGCAAACGGTTTCAGATCCTAACATTCTGAAAGCTAAGCCTTTCAAACGATTGGAGTGCTAAAAGGAAGGTTGCATTGGTAGAACAATATCCTTGCAATCTCTATCAATTTTAGAGTCGCTATAACATTCTTGTAAAGCCTTGAACTGAAAGATCCTATCTTACATAAAAGGTTTTATTGGCTGTTTGTGACAATGTCTGCTTCTTGTAGATATTTTTGTGAGATTGGTCTCTCTTTTGCACTGTAAAGATTTGTGAGATAGCTTGAAAAGAGTGTTTAATAGGAGGATTTGTGGAACAAAGGCAAGAAAACTGCTAAAAAAGGTGACTGATAAAATGCCTGATAGAATCTCAGATACATGGAAGAAGACAGGAGTTTACGAAAGAGATATAGTTCCAAAGGCGTAATTACTAAACCAAGTTTACAAAAGGTAAAATAATATCCAACCAAAATACCCAGAAGCCAGAGATTCTGGGGGTGTATAGGAATGAGGACATTGATTGTTTCTGAGCACAATCTTTCCTCTTCTGGGTTTCTTTGGTAATGAAGAGTCATAGTAGCTGTGAACCCAAATGGTTACTCAGCATAGGGTTCCATCCTTCGAGCCCTTTAAGAAGAAACATAAAGATTGGTTTGTGTCCGAAATTTTTTTAGAAAGCATTCTTGCGTGTGCTGCATTTAGTCATTTGCTGTAACTGAAGACCAAGCCTATGCGTTATAGAGAGAAAGGTAGCAATTACAGTAGTCCAGTAATGATGAATTTAAATCTGTATCTTTTGAACTAAATGAGTTGTTCAGTAGAGATATTTCCATAACTAGCTGATATTACTTTAATGTGTACCTGTCCTTTTGCAGTTTCAACTGTTTGCCAGTTTGCTGATGGAGATCCATGTGCCATGTATGACGATTATCAACGGTCCCTTTGCGGTCCATTTAGGTGATAATAGAAGATTCTCCAACTGAGGTACAAGATTTTGCTTTAGTGCCCTGTGCAAGTAAAAACATTATTGCACATTTAAGATTATGTGATCCTTGTTTATGTTTCTGATCCCAGAAGATTTGTAGGCCATCTTACCTTTTTTTTGCTCTTTCCCATTTTGATAGTTTGAATAGTTCTTTCCATTTCAATGTTTCTAGGCTTGGTTCCTCGGATCACAGGAATACAACAAGTAGCTCAAGTTCCAGGAAAAGCTTTCACTTGAGCCATTCTCTTACTGCTCACAGGACTTGGATTCAATGTTTCCACCAAGGGATGTCAGTCTAAATTAATGCTTTCACCGGTTTTCTGGCTAACACGTGGAAGAAAACTGAAACTTAAGCTCGCTTTGGATTGATCGGATGGTATCTTCAGAAACTGCGGTGGTTCTTACGCGTGTCTCAACTTGGAATTAAAATGGACATAGGACTTTTAATAAACCGTAGGTTCTTCCTCTCCTTTTTACTTTCTTTCTGTGGTGTCTCTCCTTTAAGAAACGTATGCTTGACAGATAAATTGTCTTTTACCTTGTCAGTTGATTCCCCCGGATGGATTTCTCGAGGACTCTACTATGCTGGCACAACCGTAGTTTCTTCACTGCCACGTGCCGTTGATAGACATCGCGTGCCTCTCCATTTCATCTCCACCTGCTCCATAGTTCAACACAAATGTTCTCTCTCCCTTCGATACCCTTACTTTTCAGTTTCTACAGTCCCTATACTTGTGCATATAACTGTTAAACACTAATCTGGAAAATTTGCTTATGTTATGGATATGATGCCACCCTCTACTCCTAAATCTCCTTATCTTAGCTCTTCACTTGAAGAGGCTCATGAAGATCGAAGATTTAAATGTTATAGAGGTGTCCGAAAGAGGGCATGGGGCAAGTGGGTGTCTGAAATCAGAGTTCCAAAGAGTGGAAGACGAATATGGCTAGGTTCATATGATGCTCCAGAGAAGGCAGCTCGAGCCTATGACGCTGCTTTGTTCTGCATTAGGGGTGAGAGAGGAGTTTTCAATTTTCCCACTGATAAAAAGCCACAACTTCCGGAAGGTTCTGTCCGGCCGCTGTCCAAGCATGACATACAGACAATAGCAACAAACTATGCTTTATCAGTTGTGTCTGTGCCTTCCGATACCACCACAATCCCGGTAACAGCTCATGTTCCCTCTCAGGTTCCTGCTTTCCCTGATGTATCTCTTTCTACTGAGATTATAGAGATGGCCAATGAACATTATCTCCCAGTCAACGCAACTGCAGAATCAACATTCGCAATAGAAGACCTACAACTGGACAATTTCCTCATGATGGACATTGACTGGATAAACAATCTAGTCTGATCATGAGTAACGCTGCTTGCAGTTACTTTTAGCTTTAATATGGCTTAACTACCAGTCACCTGTGTCTCTTTAGTTGCTTCTTGTAAGGGTATACTTCATCCTTGTCTTTGAACTTGTTTCATTTCGCATGCAGTTTGTTGTTCTTGTTTTGCATGTGTATTCTCTCTCTGTTTTTCTCTGCTGGACTTCATGCAAACAATGAAATGATTAGGAGTTGGCGTCCAACCTAAATCTTCTGTTGCATGTTTGAGGCATTTGTTTTCCATATCGTTCCACATGATCTGCCTCTCCTTTTTCTACACTTCTCTAATAGCCAACCTGCATAAACAGTACATTATCAGACTATGAACATCTTGTGGATATGATGCAACGCTATGCCATCATATCTTGTACTAGGCAAAATCTTCAACCTAATCATTGTAATGGCTTTCTATGATATCTACTAATTTATGCACCTTGTCATCACGATTACACGAGGCCAGCTGATAAAAAAACTCAAAACAAAATTTTCTGACTTCTCATGAAAGGTCCAAGCACTTCAGCATTTTCTTTCTGAGTTTCTCAAATCTCATRATCACCAATATTGATGATGGACATGATTACCAGCAAGAAAGATATTGCATAGTGGTGTGTGGTAGCCCTCCTGCAAAAAAGAGAAACAGAACTGATGAGCTCAAGYTTCTGATGAAACCACAAAAATACATTACATTACCTTCAGGCTTCAGAAATTGCAGGCTTCGTTTATGGCGTATTAGTTCCGTTCATATTAGTTCTCTTTCACATCCATATTAGTTCCGTTCTCCTGTTGTCTCGTAAGATATCTCGTCCTCTGTTATGTGGGGCATAGGTGCCATTTGAGGGCACCTTAGCATGATATCACATCAACAAAGAATCACTTAGCAAAGGCTCAGATTGGTGCCAGAAAGGGAGACACAGAAAACAGAGATCATAACGTTAAATGATCATGTTGGCAGCCCTCACAGATAGGTTCATGTCGCCAAGCAATAACAAAAGCAAGGAATAGGATCTGTGGCCATGCGACATTTATACCCTTGTAAAACACATTCAGCAAATATTTATGAACTAATCCCTACTTCAGTTGTTGGAACATTGTTCAAGAGAGTGTATCAGTGATGCTGCTATTTGAACTGCAGAAAGAGAACAATGCTTAGATAGAATCTTCATATAGGACGGCAATTTTTTCTCAGTCTGTAATTCAGAATTCAATTTTACTGAATCCGTAGCATTTGTTCAGTCCCCATCTCTGCATAATCCTCCTCACTTTTTCTGCACCAGAGAAATTACCAGATCCCGTGTGAATCTTGCTCAGCAATACATAATTGGCTGGATTGTCAGGTTCAGATGTCATTATCTCATTTGAAATAGTATTTCCTGCAACATCAAGCCTGCCATGAATCTCGCAAGCAGATAGCAGAGAACTCCATATTCTTGCACTTGGATTCATGGGCATATTTCTTATGACCTCAAAGGCATCGTCGATCTTCCCAGACCTGCCAAGAAGATTGATATAGCAAGCATAGTGCTCCAATGTGAGTGGCATTTGGTAAGTTTTGCCAGCTTGAGTGAATATGGTTTGAGCTTCTTCTACCAGGCCAGCATGGTTGCAAGCCGATAAAACTGCAAGAAATGCCATTGCATCTACTTCCTCTCCACTTTTTATCATCGCTTGAAAGATTTCTAAAGCTTCTGAACCATACCCATGAAGACCATATGCATTAATCATTGAGCTCCATGACACAAGATCTTTCTCGTTAAGTTCATCAAATACTTTGCGCGCCGCAAGAAGACTGCCACACTTTGCATACATATCTATGAGGGCATTGCCCAATACGGTATTTGACATGAAGCCACATTTCAGGATGTGAGAAAGGATTCTATATGCAAAACTCAACGATGCTGAATGGGTGCAAGCTGAGACGATAGCCAACAAAGTTATCGAGTTGGGTTTAGTTCCTTCTTTTCTCATTTGACTTAAAAGATTCATAGCTTCGGAGCAGTCTCCAGTCTCGGCATGGCCACCAATCATTGAACTCCACATTACAACATCTCTTACTTTTGATGTTTCGAAAAGTAGCCTACTGAGACTTACATTACCACATCTGCAGTACATGGTCATAAGAGAAGCTGTTAATCGATCATCTGAATGGAACCCATGACGATAAGAAAATCCATGAATCTCCTTCACGAGCCTTAAGCCAGAACCAAGTTCAACTAATGCAGGTAGAATAGACATTAGTGTGATACGATTGGGCCTCAAGTTTTCTCTCTGCATTGCTAGAAACAAATCAATACCCATTTTATAACTACGATTTGCAACACAACCCGAGATCATGGCGGTCCATGAGACCTCATTCTTCAACTCCATTTGATCAAACACATGGGAAGCCACTGCAGGATCATCAAACTTTAAGTACATATCAACCAATGCCGTTGATAAGAGAACTGAATCCTGCATTCTCTCATCAACAAGAACAAGAGCATGAAGCATTTTTGCTACTTTGCTACTCCTTCCCATGCGAGTGCACAAAGCCAATAGAGACGCAACCAGCTCAGACTTCGGAACAAAACCATCAAAATACATCTCCTTCAGCAACATTAACGATTCATACAACAACCCATCCTGGCAATAACGACTGACAATGGAGCAATAGCTAACGGCATCTCTTTGAAGCATTTCATCAAATACCTTGTGTGCAGAGTACGTGCTAGAGAATTTCGCATACATAGAGACGAGAGAATTGGAAACAACGGTATCACGATCAGCTCCCGACTTGAGACAAACGCAGTGAAGCTGTGTGCCAAGTAAGAAAGGCTCATGTTGAAAAGAGCAAGCTTTGATGACAGAAGGAAGAATCGCTGTGAAGCCATCAGTGCCTAAAGGATGAATCTTTTGCTTGTATAGTTTCAATGCTTCATCGTGGAGTTGTTCCGAGACCAATCCTTTTAGCTTATTGCCGAGCTCCAAGTTCAAGCGAGAAGAGAAAGATCTTGCCATTACAAAACGGTTAACACATCATCTCATAACGAACATACGATACAAATCACAAAATGGGAATAAATACTTTAAATTTAATATTATATATTTTATTTGTGTTCAATCAGCAAAGAGCACCCATGGCCTAATGGATAAGGCGCTTGACTTCTAATCAAGCGATTGTGGGTTCGAGTCCCACTGGGTGTGAATGTATGTATAATCATTCAAAATCTTAATTTTTTTGTTTTGTTTTTGAGTTTAATATCTACTTGGAAGTTGGAACCAAATCAAACTATACGTATTTTTTTTGTTTCAACATGAACGAGGGATATATATCCTGATTCCTGCTGCTAAAAGAAACAGAAATTCTAAAACTAGTTGTAAAGCCCAGAAAGGACTAAAGTTAGGAGGTAATGGGCTAGTAAAGGGCCCAATCCTCGAAAATTTGATACAGAAAGCACGTTGGGATCACGTGCGTTGACGTCGATGTGGCTGTACCGGTGGATCTCGAATTCCTCTCCATTTCCCATCTCTGGCTTCTCGAAGGCGAAGAAAACTGTCGC